CTTTACGGCGTTCGCCTCGCCAGCATTGGCGTAATCCGTGACCCTTCAAATGGCCTCCTCATAAGTGGCCGGGGGGTGTAAAATGAAATCCTGATATAAATACCCTGCCCGGAGAGAGATGTGTAACATGTGGGTGGCGGTCGCATCATCCATGGGCTCGACCTCCCCGACCGCCGTCTTCCATTTGGTGAGGAAGTCGGTCAAGCTCTCGCCTTCAAGTTGCTTGGCCTTCTCCAGATACATATAAGGCTTCCTCACCACTTTGGAAGTAATAAACTTCCTCACGAACTTGATCGCCAAGGTGTCAAACCTGTCGATCGAACCCGGCTGCAAAGTTCGGAACCATTCCGCCGCCCGACCGGTAAGCGTGGAATAGAAAGCCCTGCACATTACGGCGTCTGACACGCCCTTCAACGTCATATTGCTGTAGAAGTCGTTGACGTGAGCCTCGGGGTCTGTCCGGCCATCATAAGTTTTCTCTCCGGAGACCTTTAAATCAAGCGGGTAGGGCTGAGCCATCACCGCCGGTGTGAAAGGCGTCTGGTGTAGGGTCGGTTGTTCGACCGGGGGTGCTGCAGGGTGCGCGTTTCTGAATTGCGCAAATTCCGCCTGGAGGTTATAGAGTAATCCTCGGGTCTCGTTGAGCTCGGCGGCTTGAGCAGCTTGGGCCGTATCCCGAGCGCGTCGCCGTCGGTGAGATCTCGACCCGCTATACCCAGATGAGGCCTCCTACATCTGTACGTCTTCTTGCTGGCGGTTCGGGTCTTGGGGTCCTAAACGTTGACGCATCTCTGGTCGAAGACGATCAAAGGCTGCCGCTCGGGCAGTTTCTTCGAGGTCCTCCGCTTGGACGGGAACCTCGACCGCTTGCTGGGCTTGCCTTGGTGCCTCCATCGCATCAGCACCCCCCGACCCCAACCGCGAACGAGCCGAGCGTCTAGCCCGGGAGACGAATTGACGCTGCGGCTCTACCTGTGCGGTCGGTTGTACTGGAGGGGCGGCGGCTGGAGCCGTGTAAGCAGGCGTATATGGTGGATAACTAACCGGGGGAGTGTAGTACATCGGTTGGCCAGGCCAATACCCGTACGGCGGAGGTGGGAGCGGGTATGGATATTGGCCGGGATACATCACCAGCTGCTGCTGATATGGCTGACCGGGTGTTTGGTACCCCGGTTGAATGTAGTTCACCAGCTGTTGGGCAACCGGGTATGTGTTAGACAGATGCGGTGGTGAGAGATTGAAATTCAGTTCCACCGTCTGACCTTGCTGTTGGGTGGCATGGTGCCCAGATGAACTCGCTGCGTCCGCCTGGTCGTCGGCGAAGTTATTGTGAGCCCACGGATACATGATTGGAAAGGGAGCGGGTGCTCGTCAAGACGTTGCTTTCTCGCACGGATCCCCACAGACGGCGCCAAAATGATACTGCTAATTCTACGTAAGCAATATAAAATAAACCCGAGACCAATTAAAGCAAATAAAAGACTTTATTGATCACGGTAAAGGCCCTAAGTACAATCTACTTGGTTGCTCTGAGTGCCGACTGACTGCGGTCGGGATTCTCTAGTAACAACCTATCGATCGTCCAAAAGTCCTCTACACTGTACCTACTGTGGATTTATAGCATCTGCGCCGGAGACACAAATCCAGTCGTTCGGCATGCTCTCCACGTAGCCACCACGTGTCATCCTCCCGGGTGCCCAATCTGTCGCCACAGAGAGCCGCCACGTGTCCTTTATCAGCTCCCTCGCCAAAGGGCTACCGCTCGGTGGTCGACACTACCGCTCGGGCAATCCACGGTCGCTTCCCGACCGGGTTCTTCATAAAAAGCCCGACCTGTTACCTGTAAAGATAAAAAGACAAAGACAAAGGCACCCCGGTCGTGATAGAGCTATGTCGGTCGGGATATTCCCTACCAGTGACGATTTGCCCATCCTATGCCGTTCGCCACCGCCGGCCGGCCATCCGGCGGCCAGAGAAGAAGAAGGCAGCCACGGCCATGGCTGCCTTCAACCTCTTCACTGTCTCTCTCTGTTTTTTTTTTTTTTTTTTTTTTTTAAACCCATCTTCGTCTCCAGATTTGGAGACGAAGAAGGAGAGAAGAACAAAGCAGCCATGGCCGTCGGCCATGGCTGCTTTCAACATCTCGTTTTATTTTTTTTTTTTTGAATCTTTCCCTTCTTCGTCTCCAGATCTGGAGACGAAGAATGGGAAAGAGGACCCTTCTTCATCTCCAGATTTGGAGACAAAGAAGGAACACAGAATAAGGCAGCCATGGCCGACGGCCATGGCTGCCTTCAAGCTTCAACCTTTTTTTTTTTTTTTTTTTTTTTTAAATAACAATCATTTCCTTCTTCGTCTCCAGATCTGGAGGCGAAGAAGGGAAAGGGGACCCTTCTTCGTCTCTAGATTTGGAGACGAAGAAGGAGGAGGAAGGCAGCCATGGCAGCCGGCCATGGCTGCCTTTGACAGTTTGACGGGTAAGTGTTTTTTTGTTTTTTTGTTTTTTTTGTTTTTTTGTTTTTTGTTTTTTTTTTTAATTTTAAAATTAAATATTATTTTATTAATAAAAATGACACGTAGGATGCCACATAAGAGGTTATCTGCAATTACAGGTAAATATCCTGTTTTTAGGTCTAATTGCACAAAAGTCAAAAGTTGATGTGTTTAATTGTTACTTATAAAAGTTTAAGGGCCTAATTGTCTCTTTGTATAATGTTTAGGGGCTTATTTGACCCTTTTCCCTTTTTTTTATTACATACGAGTGGACTTTCAAAATAATTAGAAACATAGAAACATTCTATGCAATTATATTAACATAATAATTACATACATACATCATATCATATCATATCATATATACGGGTTGGACTTTCAAAAGAAAAATTGAAATGAGTTTTAAAGCATACGGGTTGTGCATTGATCATTACATACATACATAAAAATTTTGATTGGTAATGCTTGGAATTATACGGCTTGTGCATTGATTATTGCAATATACAATTCGTTTGTTACCTATTATGATGTACAGGGTATTCGTTTTTTATGCTTTGCGATTTTGTGAGGTTTGTGGTTGGGCTTTCAAGGGGCTGTACACGTTTGCAGACTCTGCAATCTGTATACCAAGGAGAGCTTCTTCCCGCGATGGTCTTCATTTGTTTTCCCGAATTATAGGAGCATATGTAGATGGAGAATATGAAGATTGCTCTGAAGGTGAATCATTAGAAAGTAATCAGAAAGGAGGAATAAAGATTCTAAACATAGTTACATCTCCATTGTTTTTATAGGTGTAAAATGTGATAATTATAATTGTTAGATTTTTTAAAAGGAAAGTGTAATTAATTATTTAAAGTTTTTAAATATGACATATTTGTTCAAATGTTTAATATTACTAAAACGTCCCTAACTTTGGGCAGAAAAAATTGGTTAAGCACTTCTATTGTATATTGGGACAAGAAGAAGAATTGTAAAAGAGTTAGTAGTACTCAAAAAAAAAAATTAATTTATATGTTTATAGTAATATTTTTAATGTTTAAAATTCACAAGTAATCTACACTTACAGTGTACTCGTAAATTTTATCAATGACTTTTATAGCATTGACTAGCATTTTGTACGCGCGATGCGCGAAAACTAATGCTCAATATTAAAATATTTGTAAGTAACAAAATTTAAAAAATTAGTTAAAATTATGTTTTGCAATTTCTTAAAGTGATGATACTTTTGAATTATCATATATTTGAATAATATAGTGATCAAAACAAAAAAATAAATTATATTTTTATATAATAATAATTTACAAATAATACTAAGCTAACACTCACATATATGATATATTGATATGGATACAGAAATAATATACATACATATTATATATATATATATATATATATATATATATATATATATATATATATATATATATAGAAGAGCGCTCATATGCGGCGGGGTCTTACGGTGCGGCGGTGCGGTCAAATTCCAGAATACACCAACAGTGTTAACAATATGCACCAACAGTGTAATAAAAACACACCCCAATGAAATGTAATAAAACATCACAAAATACACCACAGACTCAAAAAAACACACCATATAACTCACCACCCCCAATGGTGTATTTCCGAACAGTGTATGGTGTTTTTACTCACACCTAATGGTGTGTGTTTGGTGATGCAGGGCTCTGTTTACTCTGTTTTGTGTGGTGTATTTCCTAACGTTGATGGTGCATATTTGGTGAACTATTGGTGTTGCCACACGGTAAGAAATAACCGCACCGTAAGACACTGCCGCACCTGAACCCGCCTATATATATATATATATATATATATATGATACACATATATAATTTAACATTCATATAAATATTTAATTAAAATATTAAAATATAATTTATAATTAAATTAATTGTTATATGATAATTTTAATAAAACGATAATTAAAAATAAGAAAAAGATATGATAGATGTAGGTGTATGGTAAGATTGGTAGATATATTAAAAACTAACGGTGTTATAACGGTGTAAGGGTGATTTTGTCCAATGCAAATGAATGTACAACAATTAAAGCAAAATGTATATATTTATTAGCATATAAAAAAGGGACAAAAATCAAGGACATAACTTGTATTGACACTTATTATGTTTTTAGATTTAGACTAGTAAATTATTGACCACCATTTTGTATATGTCTAATATTAAAATATTTATAAATAAAAAAATTAAATAGTAACGAAATTATAACGGCATTAGGATAATTTTGTTTAACAAAAATACAATAATGACAATTTTGTATAATAAAAATGAAGTGTGTAGTATTTAAACTACACCTTTACTAGTACACAAAAAGGGACAAAACCAAGAACATAACATGTAATAACACATGTCAAAAAGAAATTAATACAATTGATGTTTGACCACTTTATAAAAGAAGTTATATATGTCTTATGTAATCTTCTTGATAATTTACTGCCATATTAAAATTATCTTATGAAATCTTTAAGCCATTATAAAGTGGTATGGAAGATATCGTCCACTGCATGCTTTTGTAGTAATTAAGGAAATGTTATAATAAAGTCAATTTTTTCCTTACAAATATATCATCAAAACCTACCTACACTCTGTTCCCTCTTCTTCTCCTCCTCCTGCAAACCTTTCATTGATTTTCACAGTTCTGGGATGGAGCCCAAAGCCGTAGCTGTATGTGATTACATTACATACATCTTCTATTTGTGTGTTTTTCATATCCTTAATCATATTTTATTTTAGGTTTCATTCCAAGAAATTACATCCGTGTTTTTTTTTTTATTTTTTTCTAGGATTGTGTTTTGAAAGTGGATGTGCAATGTGATGAATGCAAAATGAAGTTGATGGAAGTGCTGAGTTCAATTTCTGGTAAAATATCACACTAAACTATAATACTATCTATCTATCAAACTTTTTACTTGTATGTATGTTCTCTAAACATGTCAGAAATCAAAGTAAAATACTTAAAATTAGTATTGTGAAGGAGTATATTCTGTTACCATTGATGCTGAACAAGGGATTGCAAAGGTAGCTGGTGAAGTGGAACCCAATGCTCTGTTAAGGGCACTTTCAAGATCAGGAAAACATGCCAAGCCTGTGCGAGTTACCTTCAGGGATCCACGAATGACTCACTATGCGTATAACAACTACGACAGATATGCATCTCCTCCTCCCTATACTCAGCAAGGATATGGCAATGGTTACAACAGCATTGAAGACTCGTATGCTAGGGAATTGCCTGAGCATGCTCTCCGCTATGATTACCCTGACACCAACTATTCTGGTGCTTATTGGCCCCCGACTCAGTACCTGCCATCAGTTGATGAGTATAATGATGCAGTTTCAACAAGTCTCTGCGCAATTATGTGATCTAGGGTAAGAAACAGTGTATACAGCTTAGACCTATTTTTACATGGTCAAGGATTCAAGGACAATAAAATTTAAGTATTCAGCTCATAAGTTGAATGCATAGTTAAATCCTCTATATGTATCTATCTGCTTTCTTGATTTAATTAATGCAGTTCTAGCTGTAGACAATTACATAATGTTTCATTCCCAAATTTCACAAGTATTTCAAGAAAATAAAACGATAGACTTTTCACAAATTTAAAAGAGATTTGAGAATGTAATTAGAAAATTCTGAAAACTACAATTACAATCGGTAAATCCAAGCACCTGATACTTATCCAGAAGAGAAGTGAAATTTGAGCGCCTCTTCCATCAACAGTATCTATGTTTGGGCGAGATGAGCAGATAATGGTTAGAGTGTTACACCACAAGTCTTGACTACACTTCACATGAACCAGAACATGTCAATTCAACCACCTCTATTTATGCTCGTCATCTTAGTCCCTAGTTCTACCCTTGGCTTGGGTGAAAGCCCCTTCGCTAACATCTCTTCATCATACTTGTGAGCCATATCGACCATACCCTTTTGCACCAAAGCATCAATTAAGGCATGGTAAGCAGATTCATCTGGACTCAACCCATGTTCTTGCATCTTTTTCCAAAAGCTTAAAACTGGTCGAAGAAAACCCCATCTACCAAACTTACTCATAAGCATCACATACGTATCCATCCGTGGTTGAACTCCTCTTTCAATCATCCTATCAAACAACTTGAGTATATCTCTCGGCTTTTCAAGACATCTAAAGAAGCAGTGGTAAGTAGAAACATTTGGTTCACAACCCTTCTTACACATCATACCCAGCACCTTGTATGCCTCCTTATACCTCATATTTTCACACAAAAACTTTAGAATCGTGTTAAAAGTCACCACACTGGGTGTACAACCCAATTCAATCATCTCTTGGAAAAGTTTAACTGCAACATCAACTCCATCTGAAATCCCAACAGCTCGAATGGCCGTATTATATGCCACCACATCCAACTTGATACCTTTCTTCTTCATTTCTTTGAACAACTTCACAGCTTTCCATGGCTTCCCACTCTTGCATTGCACATCCATATAAATGGAATACGAAAACAGATCTTTTTCCACACCCCTCCTATCCATTTCTTCCCAAAATTCCCTACACTTTCCCCACCAACTCATTTTATAAAACCCTCGAAGAATCATGTTATAAATTTTCAAATCCACACTAAAACATGAAAATCTCTCATTCACTATACCGTTCCCAAAACACAATTCTTGAGCCTCTATCACATGTTTATACTCGCACAAAGCATCAACCAAATTCGAGAATGAAACACTACCTTTTAAATTAAACTCCTCTAATTTATCAAACGCATCAATTGCTTCATTAACAAGGTGAGCTCTAACATAACGCACGAACATAATCCTAAACGTAGTATGATCAGGCTTGGAAGACAAGGAATTTCTCATTTTATAGATAAGATTCCAAGCTATACCGAACTCAAAAAACTTACCTAGAACATCAATGATCTGATTGTAGGTCTGGGTTGTATGTTCGAACCCGCATTGCAATTCCACCCAGTTGAAGAACTCCAACGCTTTTTTCCAGTCATTACTGTAGCAGGACAGAGTTTCCAAGACTAGTGTTGGATCAAAATCAATGGAATTTCGATGTGAAGTGGCCAATTGATCAGGTTTTGGTTTTGAACTCGGGGCGTCTTCATTAGGAGCTACAGATGGATTTATGGATTTCCGGTGAAAAGATTGATTTTTTACCGGGGAAGTGTGGTAGAGAATTAAAGCTTGGAGCTGAGAGCTAATCAGAGAAGTCGGAAAGAATGGAGAATTGCAAGAGGCGACGGAAGAAAACACTCTTTTCATGGCAACTGCACAAAAATGGTCGGCGGCGACGGAATCAGAGCCGGAAGAGATTGAGTGCCGGAGGCTCGCTTGATCGTTTAATAATAGATTGTAGAAAAAAAAATATGGGCCGTGTCGTGATATTTAACAGCCCATATGTAGTAGGGCCTACTTTCGATCAAAAGGTCAATATAGGCCCACTAAAAATATTCAATTCTTTTAAGTGACAAAAAAATACACAGCTATTATTCATGGATCGTTATGTTGTGGAATCGTGTCCACCTTGCAAGGTGAGTGCAATTCCAAACGATGCCGTTTTTATGTGGTTGAGTAACACAGTGTTGTTAGTGGCACCGTTATCCTCTATAATTTCTATAGTGTAGATTCATAATTTCGATACTGTAGATTCATAATTAATAAACTGTAAATTCATAATTTAAATACAGTAAATTCATAATTTCTATGCAGTAGATTCATAATTTATATACTGCGGATTCATAATATCTGTACTGTAGATTCATAATTTCTGTACTGTAAATTCATAATTTCTAAATTGTATAGTTATCAAATTATGACATATAGTTCTGTGATTTGTGAATACATAGTTCAAACAATTGGGAATATGAACATCACAAATTATGAACATATAACTCTATAATTATGAACATATACTTATAAAATTATGACATATAGCTCTATCACATATTCACAAACCTAATACTGTAGATTCATAATTTTTATACTTTAGATTCATAATTTAAATACAGTAGATTCATAATTTCTAAACTGTACAATTGCGAAGAGAGAAACGTCGTTAACGGCAAGTGAAAAACAATTTTTTTATAATTAGAACAGCGTTGTCTTCAACGAAAACGATGCCGTTGTGGAACTGTGCCCACCTTGCAAGGTGGGCACGGCTCCAGAGCATAATTTGCCATTATTCATACACTGGACAAAGACAAATTCTTCTGTGAATCATGAATACAATGTACATTTTTAATATATTAAAAATACATTATTTGTGTATTGAATGCATATTTAATAGTATATAAAATAATGTATTTTTAAACTTTTAGTACTGATGTACTTTCAAATAATATATTTTTTATTTATGGTTCACATATTTTCATAGTCCATAGAATAATGATTTTTGAACAAACTCACTTTTGTAACCCTAATCAATAAAAGATCACAAAAAAAAAAAAAAATCAATCTAAATTACTTAAAAGTAGTTATACAATGGAACGGGGATCTACATTGCAAGGTAGATCCTAATCCGGGGATCTACCTTGCAAGGTAGATCCTAATCCAAAATACATAATTTACATACTAAATGTTGACAATTTGAATTATGAACATTCAATATATAAATTGTGTATTTTTGTATTTGAGTTCACCTTGCAAGGTGGATCCAGATCCATAGAATAATTTGCCACTCGGACAGACTCAAATCTAAAAGCCCAAAAAGGCCCACTAAAATATCATATTTTTTTTTATAGATATTTTGTCTCCCTTCTTGTACGTACTTATCAAATACAGATCTCTCGAATTTAGAAGAAACGTACGGTGAAGTGTTTCCTCAATCATCAAGAGGCTCATTCCTTGCTACACAGATTATTTCCAGGTAGAATCAGACGTTTCCTTTTCTTTTTCATTTTTCGATCCTATTTTTCAACTATTATGTAATGTTCTTGCTGTTCGATTCATTTTTGACTGGTTGTTCATTTGGTGTTATAAATTTGATTCTTTGATCGAAACTTTTTCTTACATATCTACACTCAAACCTGTATGAATCTGTTTAATTTGTTTGTTGAATTGGTTGGATTTTTTTTTTGGTTGGGTTCCTCTGTGCTGTTCTCATTCTTAAAAATGAGAATTTTTAGATAATACTCCGTATCAATGTAATTTCTGATTTTGTGCTTGTTTTTGAATTCCTCAAGCATCAAATGTTGGTGGGCATTCGGATTTATGGAGGGAAAATATTATTTGAGGTTAAAATTTTGATTCCGGAAGTTAGTATTTGTAGAAGTTTCCATTGTAGACTGAACTCTGAAGAGAATTGAAGAAGTAGAGTCTAGATGGATGATTTGCCTGATGAACTGGTTGGCGAGGTATTGAGCAAGATGATGAGAATTGGGGATAAAAATTCGGTATCCCTAACTTGTAAACGCCTACATAAATTGGATAATGCTCAGCGGAAATCTATACGGCTTGGTTGTGGATTGGTCCCTGTGCATGATGCCTTGGTTGCCCTTTGCCACAGATTTTCCAACTTGGAGACGGTGGAAATTGTGTACTCTGGTTGGATGTCCAAATTGGGTAAGCAATTGGATGATGGAGGGCTTCTCATTCTCTCTAGTAGCTGCCCGTCCTTAAGAAATCTCACCTTAAGTTACTGTACTTTCGTCACTGATGCTGGTCTAGGACACCTCGCTTCATGCTCGAAACTTGCATCATTGAAGTTGAATTTTACCCCCAGAATAACTGGTTGTGGCATATTATCTCTTGTCGTGGGATGCAAGAATCTGGTTATGCTACACCTGATTCGGTGTCTTAATGTTAGTAGTGTCGAGTGGCTGGAGTATCTTGGCAAACTGGGAAAGATCCAGGACCTCTGCATTAAGAATTGCCGGGCAATTGGAGAAGGCGATTTGATTAAGCTAGGGCCGGGTTGGAAAAATTTAAAGAGACTGCAGTTTGAAGTCGATGCTAACTATCGGTATATGAAAGTTCATGATCCTTTAGCCGTGGACCGGTGGCAAAAGCAATGGATCCCCTGTGATAGCATGATAGAATTAAGCTTGGTTAATTGTATCATCAGCCCTGGACGAGGGCTCGCCTGCCTTTTGGGGAACTGTAAGAATTTAGAGAGGATCCATTTGGACATGTGCTTGGGGGTGAGGGACAGCGATATTATGTGTTTGGCCCATAAATCAAGGAAACTGCGGTCTATATCTCTCCGCGTCCCCTTAGATTTCTCGCTACCTCTTCTGGTGAACAATCCGCTGAGACTAACAGACGATAGTCTCCGGGCAGTGGCTCAAAAATGCTCTCATCTTGAATCAGTCAAGCTATCTTTCTCCGATGGAGAGTTCCCCTCATTTTCATCGTTTTCGCTGGATGGAATTCTCAAGCTGATACAGATGTGTCCTATAAGGGAACTCGCCCTTGATCACGCATATTCTTTTAACGACACTGGAATGGAAGTGCTATCTACCGCACAACATCTTCGAATTCTAGAGCTTGTAAGGTGCCAAGAGATCACAGACGAGGGCTTGCAGCTTGTAGCCCAAATCCCCCGTTTGTGCATCCTACGTCTCAGCAAGTGCTTAGGAGTCACCGACGAAGGACTAAAGCCTCTCATCGGATCACAAAAGCTCCAAGTGTTGATCGTGGAAGACTGCCCGCAAATATCAGAGAGGGGAACTCAAAGGGCTGCAAAATCAGTTACCTTCAAGCAAGACCTGTCTTGGATGTTTTGAGCAATTGTAAATGGTATGTTTTGAATCCTTTCAATCTCCAAATTTATTGTTCTGTGTGTAAAATGAAGCAATAAGTCTTGTAGTATAGTCTTTACCTACATTGTTATCTATGATGTTTCATTCCCATTTGTTCAAACTTTGAAGTGTTTTGTGTTAGCAGGGCATAGGAAAACAATAATGTATGTTACCAGTACAACATAAGTTATTACTTTTGTTTATAATTTTTTGTGCTTTTGGTCCCACAATTATGGTGTCACTATCAACTTTGATCCACGACTTTCAAAACTTGTAGAATTGGTCCACGACTATTACTTTCTTAGCGAATTTGATCCTTCTGATGCATTCTCCATTCTCCGTTTAACTGGAAATTTTTTTTCCTCTTTTTCAGTGTGGATAATATTGTCTTTTCCATCTCACTTTAGTTGTAGAATTGGTCCACGACTATTACTTTCTTAGCGAATTTGATCCTTTTGATGCATTCCCCATTTTAACTAGAAATTTTTTTTCCTCTTTTTCAGTGTGGATAATATTGTCTTTTCCATCTCACTTTAGTTGTATAATTGGTCCACGCCTATTTTTCTTCCTACTCATTATTCTTTCAACACTTCCTACCTTCATTCTTTATTAGTAAAATTCCTCATCATTTCAAGCAAAAATAATAATTATTACGGAGTATTTTTTTGACTAAAATGAAATTTCTCTCTCTCTCTCTTTCAAGCAAAAATAATAATTATTACGGAGTATTTTTTTGACTAAAATGAAATTTCTCTCTCTCTCTCTCTCTCTCTCACATACCAACACAAGTCTAACTATATCACAAAAATTATTTTTTTAACACTTTTTACTTCTTCCCGTGCCTTATGATAGAGGTTCTTTAAACTTATGATTAATCTAGCATAAGATAAGAAACCTAATGTAAATAAAAGAAAAAAACTAATTTATTACAAATATACATAAACTATTGTCTTGTTTGCAAGGGTCGGAGCCATAAATATAATTGACAGGGGGCGAAATTTTAAAGCACTTTAAAAATGCTATAAAAATATAAATACGTTATAAACCAGTCATCTCTAATTTCTATACTGTAGATCCATAATTTTTATACTGTAGATTTATAAAATTTATACTTTCCAATTGTTGAATTCTGTTTTCACAAATCAGAGAACTATATGTTCATAATTGATAACTATACAGTTCAGAAATTATGAATTTATAGTACAGAAATTATGAATCTACAGTACAGAGAAATTATGAATCTACCGTACATATATTATGATATAGAAATTATGAATTTACTGTATAGAAATTATGAATGTAAAGTATAAATTTTATGAATCTACAGTATAGAAATTATGGATATAGAATTGTGAAGGTGGGCACGTGCTCACAGCATAGCGTTCCGGTCACATTTGTGTGAGACGTCTCATGGATCATTATTTGTAAGACGGGTCGGGTCGGATTGAATCAACATGCAAATGTCTTACTTATATGCGCAAATGTCATACGTATATGCTCAAATATAATACTAATCAGGATTTTTTTTTTTTTTTTACTTATAAGAAAAAATGTAATACTTTTGCATTTAATATAAAAGTATATATTTTCCATCAAAAATATTACATTTTCCATAATAAGTAATGTTGGCAAGCGCCCCTTATAAGGGAAAATATAATACTTTTGAGGAGAAATATAATATTTTTAACTCAAAATTTAAAGTATTACATTTACCTTTATAAGTAACAATTTTTTTTTTTAATTTCCGATTAGTATTACATTTGAGTATATAAATATGACATTTGCGTGTATAAGTATTATATTTTCATCTTATCTCGACCCGTCTCACGATGAGACGGTCTCACACAAGTGTTTAACTTAAAAAAAATATTTGACACGACTAAATTACAAAATATATTTTATGTCAATTAATAAATCCACTTAAATAATTATTATCACATATAACATATTATAAATCACACAAATTAATGCAGATTATACGTATTAATGCGTAACAAACTATAAATCTCACAAATTAACACATATAGCTATTATATATATATATATATATATATATATACTACAAGAAAGACAACTTTTAGTTACAAAAAATTAGTGACGGGTAGAAAAATTCCTCACTAAATGTATTATTTACATAGTTTTTGTGAGGGTTAAAAATTACTCTAGCTAAAAGTGTATGATTTAGTGACGAAATTTTAATTTTATATTTATTTTAAAAATATACTCTCACTGCTGATAAATAAGATGCTGTTACTCTCACTATTGGTATATTTCACTAAAATTTAATTTCCACCAAAACTTTGTTTTTGGGCGCCCTTTTGCATAAAATTAAACAAAAGAGATTCGCAGCTGCTGGCTCCCTCATCCTCTGTCGTCTCCAAGATGCGATTGTGAGTACTTCACTCATCTTCATTGTCATTTTCATTCATCTTCATTTTTCTACCTTAATTCATGACTTCCTCATGGGCTCCTTTGCGACTATGAACTACCGCAGCCACGCCCCGCTAATCTTCTCTGCTCATCCGGTCATCCCAGCTTCTCAGCGACTCAAACATCTTGGATTTTTACGGAGCACCGTTCGACCGTCGTCCAGTCATCCAGCACTCTGCGTCTCCAGCAAATCGGCAACAACTCGCAAATGTTCAGGTTTTAACGAATTTTAACATTATTCTTTGACCCTAATCTTATCTTATCTTACTCTATATAATAGCAAAATGTTTTTTGCCAATCAATTTCCCGCCTAAATGAAATTGCATCATTTTAAGGTATTAAAATACCAATTAAATGAAATTGCATCATTTTAAGGTATATAATGCATCATACTTATCTATTTTCAATACATGTTAATCTACAATTATTGTTATTTAATGATGAAGCAGGTAATACATTCCAGTATTTTTAAGTTAACATTTTATTATATAAATTAATTTATTGTTTACTGGAAAAAAAATAGAGTATCCAATTTTAAAAAATAAGATTAACCTCTTTTTTTATTCTTACAATTTTGTTGATCGACAACAATTTAATTGTTCATTCTAATATAGTTTTGAGAGGGAAATTTTTTGTTGAAAAAGTTACTAAATCAGTTACTAAATTGAAAAAATGTTTTTAAAAATTGAAATCAGTTGCATGAACAATAATATTGGAGAGACGAATAAGTTTAAACAAATAATTATTGAACTGATATTAAGTAATTAGAAAATATGATTTATTTCTTAATTTCGTTTTAAACAATAAGTTTTACCTGAAGATGATACTGTATTTATTAGTTTGTTTTAGATTTGCTTCAGTCACCCGATTTTTCAGATCGGCATTTGGGGAAGAAAGCAATTCCACAACGGCCAAAAGCTACGATCAGATTATCTGAAAAGTTTTTTAGCAGTGGATTACTGGGACGTGCGACGATTTAAAATCGAGTGTGTCAAGACGCCGGAAACAAAGAAGGTTCGCGTAAGTCAATGAACATTTTAGAGAGAATGACGAACGGAACAGAGTAGACGGAAGCGCAATTGTCAAAAAATATGGATTAGGGTTTGGTAATGAGGTTTTATAATTGGGTTAATGGGCTTGGGTATTGGGCTGAAATGCAACGTAACTGGGTTATATTGATAGATAATTAAATGTTTATTGGGCTTAGAATTACAGGTTTTATTTTTTCTTTCATGTCATGAAATATTTCATATTTAGTTTAGGTTTATATATGTTGTACGTATATAATTATTATTATTAAGCAATGTTTAAGAAAAGATTTTCGTAGTTAGTTCCAATGTATGATGATGATACTGTATTTTTTATTTATATATTGTCAAGTATATGTACTATAGGCTTTAATTGCAAATCATATTAATAAATGTTTTTATATATAAGAAAATTTAATTTCATAATTTTTTTATTGTATATTGTTTGATTTTCTAATTTAAATTTTTTTTTTATAAAAATGTGTGTGTGTGTGTGTATATATATAAAATTATTTTAATGTACACTTTTTAAATCTCATGTGGTATGTTATAACACAATTCTTTATAATATATGCTAACAATATGTGATGTTCGATATAAAAACCAATTTAGTATTGTTAAAGAAAATTACTTTTCAGAATAAGTTTTAATTTCATGATTAATATTTTATTTTATTGTTTTTAAAATATTATTAATATTAAAGTTATTTAAATTTTATGTCGTGCATTGCACGGGGCAAAAACTAGTTCCATAAATGATAAATCCCTAATTCGCTATATTTTCAATCTTCAACATTTTTAATGTATTCTTTGTATATTGTTCATATATTTGAATATGTGATGTATATTTTCCCAATTTTTATCAGTTTCTGTATAATCTTTGAATATTCATTATATATACTCAATTTTGGCCCTGTACGTTGTATTCATTGTTAATCTAAATTTTAGTATTCTAGTAGCCTAAATTTCCTAATGTTGATTTAATGTCTAAATTACCTAAATTGATTAATGATATGAATATATACTTTTTGGTTCATTATATGTTGATTTGCTGCTTGTGTGGCCAATGAAAATTTTGGTTTACTTTGCCTTGTTTTAGTAATCATTTACAAAATTATGAAGAATTTTTATTCTAAATGTGTAGCTACTATTGTGATTTTTTATTTTTTTGTTTTGTTTTGTTTTTTTTTTTTGTTTTTTTGTTTTTTTATAGATTGTTGTTTCTCTATTTTTCGGTAAGCATTTCAATAGCTTTTGATGATTATGGTTTTGTGATCATGTGATTGAATGTATTGTGTGAAACTAGAAAGAAAAAAGAAATACTTGCTTCGACACCGGCAGTGAGGACTTCAACAGCAGGTTAGTCTTCTTCTTTTTTCTTTTTTTTTTTTTTTTCATTCATAATGATGGTTTTCCTGTTCTTTGCTTGCATTATCTATTTATCTTGTGAATTTTAAGGCTAAAAGTGATAGACTGATAGCTTAGCTTGCTTTATGGGTTAGGCACTTAGGCATGCATTTGCGGTGGCGGTGAGATAATAAACAGTACAGTAATGACGGATGGACGGGAAAAAGAAAGCAAAAAACGGGTTTGGATTGTTACTTCTTAGTTGGGCACAAGCTTTGGGTGACTCTTCACTAGCTGATCATACTGACTATCAACCATAAATTTTTAATGGTTGTGATTTGAGATTATGCATAAAGATTTTTTGTCATGCTACTTTGATCTTTTTATGGATAATGGATAATG